TAAGAATGTGAATGTTACAGCTTATAAAAGTTTAATTGGAAGTCTGAGGTATCTGGTGGCAACAAGGCCAGATATTTCTTTTGGAGTTGGAATACTTAGCAGATTCATGGAGGAACCAAAAGAATCACATTGGGCTGCAGCAAAGCGAATTCTGAGATATGTGAAAGGTACGAGTAATGATGGACTTTTTTACTCTACTAATGAAGATGTGAAGCTTGTTGGGTACACAGACAGTGATTGGGCTGGAGATATTGAGACCAGAAAAAGCACATCAGGATATGCCTTCTATCTTGGTTCAGCCATATTTTCTTGGTCGTCAAAGAAGCAGCATATTGTAGCACTTTCAACCGCAGAAGCAGAATATATTGCAGCCGCAAATTGTGCTACTCAAGCAGTTTGGTTGAGGAGAATTTTGGAGTTTTCACAACACGAGCAGGAAGCACCTACAACTATTTTTTGTGACAACAAATCAGCAATTTCGTTGTCCAAAAATCCAGTCTTTCATGGTCGCAGCAAACACATTGATATCAAGTATCACAAAATAAGAGAGTTGGTTGTTGAAAAACAAATCAACATTGAGTATTGTTCAAGTGAATGTCAAGTTGCAGATATCTTTACGAAGCCGCTGAAGACAGAGACATTTCTCAAGTTGAAGAAGGAAATTGGGATGACCAATATATCCAACTTGGTTTAAAGGAGGCAATGTTATAATATTATTATTATAATTATTATTAAACCAAGTAAATGGGAATAAATAGCAGTTAGTGGAGTTGTGTAATGGGAATGTGGCAGCATTACATGAAAGCTATGTGGTACATGGAGAGCTTTACTTCCCTAAATTTATGCTTTGTTAGTTTTGTTGTTTAGTATAAATAGTCTTTGTATTCAGGCATTTTAAATCATCAATTAAATCACTTATCTATTCCTCTCTCTCTCTCTTCTCAATATATATAAATATAATATATAGATATATTATATTTAATATATATTATAGATATATTATATTATATTTAATATATATTATATTAAATATATTATATTTAATATATCTTACAATTCTGGACTAAATTTTGGACTTTTGGCCCTAAACTGGAATTTTGTATTGGATTGCTATGCCAAGATGGAGGAAAGTATCATTTTATTTTAACCTGTCATATGAAATTATTTTTTTTGGATCATGAAGAGGGCAAAACGCCCGGGGGGAACAACACGCCATACTAGCGATTACTCTGAGCTGACCCTCCGGCAGAATCCCTCGCGCCAACTCTGTCTTCCCACATCAAAGCGTCGACGCACATCGGTTGGTTGTCAAGCGTATGAGTCTCAATAGCATGATCAAGCGCGGCAGAGGCTAGGCGATCGACAACTTTATTGCACTCTCTCCCGACGTGTCTGAGCTCCACCGCTTGGAACCTGCCTAGTTCAACAAAACACAGCTTCACAATATTGCTCTCCCTCCCAGTCCTGACGTTCGCCCGGAGACACTTGATAGTGCGGAGGGAATCACTTTCCACAATCAGATGGGAAACACCCCGTTGAGCCGCCATACGCAGGCCAACGGCGACACCCCAGGCCTCCGCATCGTCCATAGCACAGGCGCCTATATTATGCGTGAACCCTTGGACCCATCGCCCACCATGATCTTGCAAAACTCCACCACACCCGGCCTTCATTGCCGCCCCTTTACAACACCCGTCCGTGTTCAACTTCCACCACCCATCAGGCGGCTTCGTCCACCCAATCGCCTCGCTGCTCACCGGAGCTCTGGCTCTAGGCCTCCACTTATTATTGAAGGCTTCCTTGATCTCCCCGTACTGAGAAAGAACCCATTCTCTGCGCTGCGCAAGACTCAGCCTCGTGCCCTCGAAGACCTTTGCATTCCTCCATCTCCAGCACCACAACATGCAAAGGCCAAACAGCTCACGCCAGCCATCCGGGAAGCCCATTCTCGCATCAGCCCCTAGATTCGCTGCAAGCCATTCCGTCCAATCCAACCTGCCTAGCCGCTGGGCCGTGCCTCTAGAGAGAAACATCTCCCAGAAACCTCAAACATCATCGCATGATATGAAGATATGATCGAGAGTCTCGCGCCGACCTGCACAAAACAAACAAAGAGGATCAGTCGTAAATCCCCGCTTACACCTCTCCATATTAGACATTAACTTCCCCTGTTTAACAAGCCACAAAAAATGGTTCATCTTGTTGGGGATGTGCATCTTCCAAATCCGCATCCAATCCTTATCGCATGGCGCGCCTGTGTTTGCGCATAAAGCATTATAAGCTGATCGGACGGAAAATCTGCCATCCATCTCCAGCCCCCAACCCCAGTCATCATCCGCACCATCCTCATCAATAACGACATATGCATGGAGTTTGGATTTCCAGTCATCCCCCAGGACCCCTTCGATCATCTCCCACTTCCAACCGCGCCCTCGATCCCAATAATCCTCCACCGGTGCGTATAACTCCGGTAAGCTCACCGGTCGCTGCATGTGTTCGTATAAGCTTTGACCCTGTACCCACTTATCCATCCAGAACCTCGTATCCCTCCCGTTTCTCACAACTCTCGTGAGCCCGCTGTCCAGCAGACCGGAAGCTCCGCAGATGCCCTTCCAGGTATTCGACGCACGTCTAGCGGAGGTACCGCTCCTCCACTCCTCTGGCTTTCCGTACTTGCCTAGCATTACCTGGGACCAGATGCTCTCATGTTCCGTCTTCAGTCGCCACCCGAGCTTGGCCATGAAAGCGGTGTTTATGTGTCGAAGCTGTCGCAGTCCTAATCCGCCCGCCTCCTTCGGCCTAGTGACCGTCTCCCAATCGACCAGACTAATCCGCCGTGAGCTCCCGTCGCCGCCCCAAACAAAACGCCTCGTTACCGCCTCCAGCTTTTGGCATACGCCTAGCGGGATACAAGCAGATTGCATCGTGTACGTGGGTATAGCCCCCAGGACCGATTTCGCCAAGGTTACCCTCCCCGTAAAGTTCAAAGTTTTACTCCGCCAACCCTCTAACCGCGCTGTCACTCTATCTATCAACCCAGCAAAAGAGGCCTGGGTAGTCCGCCCATGGATCGACGCTAGCCCCAAGTAGCGCCCCAAGTCTGTCGTACGTGGGATACCAAGTTCAGCTGATATTTCCTCCGCGACTTCACTCCTTGTATTCTTTGAAAAGAAAACCTGCGATTTTCCCAGGCTCACCTTCATGCCTGAGGCCTGGCAGAAGCTATCAAGGCATTGCTTGATGATCCCGACTTGTTCCATGGAAGCCTCTGAAAAGAGGACCATATCGTCCGCGAAGCAGAGGTGAGAAAGAGTCGGCCCAGCGGGCGCTAATTTGATCCCTTTCCACCGCTGAGCAGCCACCTCCGCCAAGATGCTTTGACTCAACCTTTCCATACAGAGGACGAATAGTGCTGGCGACATTGCGTCACCTTGCCGCACGCCCCTCCCCGGGCGAAACTGCTCCATTCGTTCCCCGTTCCAGACGATAGACATGCTTGCTGTTCGAACGCACTTCATAATAATATTGGCACATCCCTCATTGAAACCTGCATCAAATAAAGTATCATTAATAAAACTCCACGATAGGCGGTCATATGCCTTCTCTAAGTCTATTTTAATAGCCATCATCCCTGCTTTGCCTTGTTTGATACGCATAGAGTGTAGGACTTCCTGAAAAACAACCACATTATCAGTAATCTGTCTGCCCGGTACAAAGGAGCTTTGGAAAGGCCCGACAAGAGAAGGCAAAATGAGCTTAAGCCGGTTAGTAATAGTTTTAGTGATCACTTTATACGCGACGTTGCACAAGCTGATGGGCCTAAATTGTTTAATACTTTCAGGCGCGGTGACTTTGGGTATAAGCACAAGTAAGGTCTCATTCACCCCTTGCGGTAATCTGCCAGAATGAATTGCATTCTGAACCAAACTAGTCACTCCGTCCCCTACAGTTTCCCAAGTTTGTTGGTAGAATACCGCGTGTAGACCGTCCGAACCCGGCGCTTTCAGGGGACTCATGTCAAACACTGCCTCCCTTACCTCTTCCTTTGTCACGCTTCTGTTAAAGATTTGCCAAAGCCCCGCCTCCGGTCTTGGGAATTGACCCCGTATAGTCCTTGATACGTCAACATCTGTGTCTTCCTTAAACAAATCGCTGTAGAACTTTTGTACATGAATTTTGAGCAGCTCCTCATCATAGATCCAACTCCCATCATCGTTCCTCAAACAAGTAACCCTATTTCTGGCTTTTCGGACCATGGTCGAGGCATGATAGAACTTGGTATTACGGTCCCCAGACACAATCCACTCCTCTCTTGAGCGCTGATACCACATCGACTCCTCCTGGTAGAGCACTGTTTCCAACTCCGCCTTAAGTCTTCGTTCCAGGTCCACCAAGCCTCTGTGCGGTCTAATGGACATGCTTCGTTGGATCCCTTCAATCCTGGCTAAGAGAATTCGTTTTTGCGCCTCTACACTGCCAAAAACCTCCTTATTCCAACTAGTCAACTCAGTCGTTACCTTTCTTATATTGCTTAGCATGTCCTGATTGTTACACCACGATCTTTTAACCACCTCCGGAAAGGTAGCATTGGCCAGCCAAGCCGCTTGGAATTTGAACTGGCTCGGTCCCATCCTTCCATTCCTTGTTCCTGTCTTCATCAGGATAGGTGCATGGTCTGACGCAAGTCGCGGGAGGTGACGCACATGTGCTTCAGGGAATTTCTGGCACCAATCGACGCTGCATAGCGCCCTATCCAGACGCGCGCCCTTCATAGGCCCCACATCCTTTCCTCTCATCCAAGTTAAGCGAGGGCCACTAAACCCCATATCAACTAGACCCTGCTCGTGGATCCAGTCCCCGAACTCGGCACTTCGTTGAGCGGCATAGGCGGAATAATTCAGAGTCTCTTCTTGACAGATGACGGCATTGAAATCTCCAGCCGCCACCCACGGGTGCATGATGTTGCGCTTAGACACCTCGAGTTCGGCCCATAGACGTCGTCAAAGATGCTTAGCCGGGCTCGCGTACACAACCGCGAGATTCCACGGGTCCCCCCCGTGCTCCTTCACCTGCAATAAAACAAACTGAGGGTGAGTATATTCCACCACTATTTCCAGCGGCTTATTCCACAGAACCCAGATCCCGCCACTGAAACCCACTGCCTCCACTCTAACCCATTCAGCAAAGCCTAACTTCGAACAGATCTTATTCGCCTGTGCTCCCGAGACCTTGGGTTCAACTAGTCCCACCAGGCCCGGCTTGTGGTTCTTTATAAGCGTTTTCAGAATGCGCTGAAACTCTCTGCTCCCAGCGCCCTGACAATTCCAAAATAAACTGATCATTGGATACAAAGGACAGAAAATAAAATAAAACCAAGCGACAGCCCTCATCGTGCTTCACCAGCATGCACGTCCCCGCCACCAGGGCCCTCGCCCAGGCTATCATCTACCTTCATGACGGCATCGTCGTCATCATCAAGGTCGCTAGGATCATCGGAGTAGTGTTCCCCCATGCGCTCCAAGACAAGCACCGGGCTATGATCAGATTGTCGGTCATGGCACACCGTCGTCGTATGTATCTGATTCCCCCCTTGCGATCCTCGCACTACCACATGAGCATCTTCCTCCGCTGCCCTCCGCGAACTTCCTTTGTGAGCTGTACGAGAACTCGGCACCACGGTGCCCACTGGCGCCTGCTCTTTTGCTTGACCTGGCTGGTTTTCAATCTGTTTCTCGTTGGCTATCACATTCGCTCTTCTCTGGTTACGCGTTTTCCCCATGTTATACCCACCCTCTTTTGGCGTCGCCTCCTGTCCAGCCTGCTGCTTCTCCATTTCTTTCTCCACCTCTTGCTCCATGGCCTCGCCATTTTCCAAATCGGTCGTTCCCCCCATGTTGTCCAGAGGTGCGAATCGCGACTGGACCTTCTTTACTGGATCTTCCCCTTTGCGACCTCTGTGAATACTCTCTGGCCTTCTTCTCTGACGCTTATCCTCCCGCGTGACTACCATCCACGACCCGAACGGCGCCTTGTCCTCTCCCATGGCAGCTAGCGACGCACGCGATTCTGACTTGTTTTCTTTAGGTTGCTCCACCACCACCAGCGCTTGAGCCCCCCCCTCACCTCGCTGGTCTGCAACGCCATTACCGGGTCCTTCCTTCTTCGGGCATGATTCGTGGTTGTGGCCGTACATCCCGCAGTCCAAGTGGATCCCTTCATACGAGATGTACCGTGTCCTTCCTCTTCTCTTGAACTTTGACAACAGAGGCTTCGTTATGTCGATTTCCACGCACATCCGAGCAAAGCGACCCCGAGAGACCTGACTGGTAGCCCGATCTATTCTGATCGGCCTCCCAATCCGCCGCCCAACTTTCTGCAAAAAAACAATGTTATAATATTCCACTGGAAGGCATGGAAACCGAACCCATATCAGCATTTTCTCAGTTTTATCCGTCATGGGATCGAAGTCCGGCGTCCACTCTTTCACTATCAGGTAATGATCCAGGATCATCCAAGGCCCTCCAAATTTCGCGAACTCCAGATCCTCTGTGGATCCGAATTTTACCAGAAAATAGTCGTTATCTAATGCTACCAATTCGAAGCTCCCCTTCGGCCTCCATAGTGCACATAACCGTCGAAGAAGAAGCGAGTATCCTACGACCTTGCCCCACACCTTCACGATCAGTGCGTTTCTCCATGGCGCACGTATGGCCTCCTTCTCCTCCTTCGTCAGCTTTATCGTTGGGCACAACGGGTCCTCCTCTCCATCACTATCTTCGTCTTCTGATAGCTCATCGACCCCCTCATGATCTCCTTTCGGTGCGATCCGGGTCTCCGCAATCTGCCCAGCAACGGTGTCTCTATACGACAGCGGGGGCGGACGCTTGCATGGCATCTCTGCGATCGCGTCGTAATAGCGCATGGCTTCCATCGACGTCTCCATTACAGCTTCCACCGTCTCGTGATCCATAGTCGTGGATGCTCCGTCGTTCTGCTTGGACTTCTTGGTGCTGCGTTCCAGCAAATCCTGATCCTCCGGTGATCGGTGATTCGAGAGCGTCATCGTTCGTTCAACTCGTAACCTGTCATATGAAATTAAAAACAAGACCATTGAATTTGATGATAAACATAATGTTCTGCGAGCTGAATTTGTGGTCCAGGCATATATGCAGTATGTTTCTATTGAAATTCCATCAATGCCCTCCAAATTAACAGAATTTTAACACCATATCAAACAGAGGACTAAAATGGTTAATTTTTTCAAAGTCGAGGACTTAATTGGAAAAAAAAATTGTCGAAGACCAAATTAATAATTTCACAATATTTGAGGAACCATTTTGGTAATAAACTCAACTAATAACAACTAATTAAACCTATCTATTCAACAACAAATTCAAACCAACACTAATAAACAATGAACACAATAATAACAACTAACGGATTTATAATTGAAATCAAGATACAATTCTTTAACAAAACATAAAGATAATGTTTAAACCAAAGAAAGTTACACGCACTCATTTACAAAGTATTGTGCCCGCAACTCTCAGATTTCATCTATTTCGTTTATGGAGTAGGTTGTCTGTTCAAATATCTACACAAAATATATATATATATATATATATATATATATATATATATATATATATATATATATATTTAATCAAATTAGTAAACATATTAATTAATGTATTACTAGGACTATGTGGTCCAATGGTACTTGGGTTGGACTTTCATTTGGAAGGTTGTGAGTTCGAGCCTCAGTGGAAGCATTATTAGCTCTTTGTGTTTTAGTAGGTTGAGAAAGTATATTAATAGATACTATTATAATTCAAGTATACATTTAATTGTATTTAATTTACTTACCTCTTCTAGACAATCAAGCCTTGAATGCTTACTAACAATCTCAAACATGTATCATTCAGAACGTCCCGATTGTTGTGGACACTACAATATATATATATATATATATATATATATATATATATATATATATATATTATATATATATATATATATCATATCAAACAATAAATAAAAACAAAGGTTAATATCATATTAAAACTTTAACTTTAACTTCATACTCTGCATTTCTTCCAATTAACCATTCTAGTTCCTCGTCCACTTGTAGAAACAGATCGAAATGCCCTATACTAATAATAAACATTTGTATCAATTTATATTTATATATAACATAATAACATTTAAAATACATATATTGATTTTTTACTTACATATTTACAAAAACTTTGACTTCAAGGTTGCGATCCACAATTTTCATAGATAGACACTTCTTGATCTAATCCGCTAGCTCCACTGTCACCCTTGATCACCTCCACTACAACTTTAAGATCAAGTTCCACTTTGCTATTATTACAATTTTAACGGTAGACCTGATAATCGAAGATCCTCCCTAAATCCACTCAATCTTAGTGGTAGACCTAATAATCTATCATCCTCATATTTAAATTAATAAAATATATCTACTTTCCTAAACATATTTATTACTCATCAATATTGACTAGGACCAAGGTCCACCTTGCAAGGTAGACAGTAGCAAGTTCATCACTAAGTAGAACATTTTACAGTTTAAAATTAGAGATGGAAAATGAAAAAAAAAAAAAATATATATATATATATATATATATATATATATATATATATATATATATAAATGATGAACAATGTGTTGCGAAAAAGTAAAAAATGGAAAATGTTTTTTTTTTTTTCATATAAGGAATATATATGTAGGACAATTAACACTAGCATAATAAATCAACAAAAATTAATATTTAATAGGCAACACTAAAACTCAAAATAAATCAACAAAAACTCAAAAAAAAAAAAAAATCTTAAGATATCGTATATAGAACACAATAACATAACATACAATAATATTCAAAATCAATAAAAAAAAAAGTCAAATTTCAAACACAATTTAAAGATTAAAAGTACCTATAAAAATGAAGAAAGCAATGAACACTCAAAATCCAGATAAAATAAGACACAACATTTATTTATCAATCAACACTAGCATAATAAATCAACAAAAATTAATATTTAATAGGCAACACTAAAACTCAAAATAAATCAACAAAAACTCAAAAAAAATTCTTAAGATATCGTATATAGAACACAATAACATACAATAATATTCAAAATCAATAAAAAAGTCAAATTTCAAACACAATTTAAAGATTAAAAGTACCTATAAAAATGAAGAAAGCAATGAACACTCAAAATCCAGATAAAATAAGACACAACATTTATTTATCAATAAAAAACCTGCAACTAAAAATGACAAAAGCAATAAACATTCAAAATCCAGATAAATAACATACAACATATATTTATTAATTAAAAAAAAACTGCAACTAAAAATGAAGAAAGCAATGAACATCAAAATGCGGATAATTATCAGCATGAATAAAGAACTTCAGTAATAATAATTTTGGAAACAGAAGGGAAAAACAAAAAAAAAACAAAAAAAAAAAACAAAAACAAAAAAAAAACAAAAAAAAAAAAAAAACGAAACGCATTTTCTAATTCAGGAATTCAATATAAAACCATCAAATTAAAGACAAATGAAGTATTTAAAACTCAAATGAACAAACATAACACAGCCAAAAAAAATCTCCAGATATATTTTTCCTATTAAAAAGACAACCCTAATCTCTGTTAGGAAATAGGGAGTGTTTGATGATAGGGAAGTGAGGAAATGAGATCTTCAGGCGTGTAATCACTTTCCTATAAGCTTTAAATCCCTCCCGTATAAAGCAACAAGGTTCAAGATTTAATCTTATGGGATACAAGAAGATGATGAAATTCTTAAGTTGTTTTGTTTAAGAATTTGCTGTAGAAATGCAGTACTGTGAAATATCTCAGTCTTATGCAAGTTTATTGCATGTCCCTTTTTCAGACATTTCTCCAAGTATATATAGATGCAAAATGTATCTGTTTGGAGAAGTTACATGGAAGTTGCTATAATTTAAAACTCAACTTCCATAAGATAAGATATATCATGATTGATATATCTATCACTGCAGAAATTAATATATATTGAGCCAGTAACTGTATGCAAAATTATATACATACATATATATATATATACATATATATATATACATATATATATATATACATATATATATATATATATATATATAGAATCGCACTCAGGTGCGAATGCTTCGCCCAGGCGCGAAATGGGAATGGATTCTATCCGTCCACGTGTCCAGATCTAATGGATGAGAAACACTGATTTTTTTAAAAAACACGGTGGCATTTTCGTAAATAATTGAACATCGAAGTGCAAGTAAAATGTATTACAAGTGCATGTAAAATGTATTATCGGTGCAAGTAAAAATTTACACTGAGCATCAATACTTAGTTGCACCTATAGCTATAAGTAGTTGCACCTATAGTTCTAAGTAGTTGCACACATAGTTATAAGTAGTTGCACCTAGGTGTATGAATGTTTGCGAGTGGTTTTCAGGGGTATTACTACCCGCTGAACTCAGATCAATGAATGTTAACAAGGCAAAATTACATGCACTTATAGGTGAAAGTAGGTGCACCTATAGTTACAAGTAGTTGCACCTATAGTTATAAATAGTTGCACATATAGTTATAAGCACACCCAGGTGCATGAATGTTTGCGGAAAGTGAATGCTAACAAGGCAAAATTACATGCACTTATAGGTGAAAGTAGGTGCACCTATAGTTATAAGTAGTTGCACCTATAGTTATAAATAGTTGCACATATAGTTATAAGCACACCCAGGTGCATGAATGTTTGTGGAAAGTGAATGCTAACAAGGCAAAATTACATGCACTTATAGGTGAAAGTAGGTGCACTTGTAAGTGATTTTACTTGCACTTTGATGTTCAATTATTTACGAAAATGCCACCGTGTTTTTTTTTTTAAGTTATTAGATCTGGACACGTGCCGCGCGCTGATTCGTTCGCATTTCCCTCTTGAGCACTTATTCGCACCTGATTGCATCCCTATATATATATATATATATATATATATATATATATATATATATATATATATATATATATATATATATATATATATATATTCCTTACGCATGGAAACATGCAAAGGATAAATATGAATAATATACATATATGTAGTTCAATAATCTCAAGCATACAGCTACATATACCAAGCATGTTATGTGTAACTTTGAAGCATATAGCTTCAAAATGTAGAAGAGCATATTTCAAGCATGTTAAGTGTAGTTTTGAAGCATATAGCTTCAAAATGCCCCAAAACCTTACGCATGAAAATATCCAAACATGCATTAATACTCTCAAGCATATTAGCTATAACTCTAAAGCATATTAGCTATATATCTCAAGCATATTAGCTATATACTCTCAAGCATATTAGCTATATACTCTCAAGCATATTAGCTATATATCTCAAGCATATAGCTATATACTCTCAAGCATTTTAATTAATTTTCTACCAAACTAAAATAATATTTACAACTCCACAACTCCAAATATTATTATTAGTTCATCTGAAACATTAATCTCCATTACTATATAAATTTCCAACAATCTCTAGCAACTAAAAATCTACCGAAAATACATCGAATAAAAAAAACGAGAACGGAACTGCGACAGGAACAAAACAATACAGAGAAACAGAATACCTTCAGGTCGCCGGCAATGGTGGCTGCATCAGCGGTGTGGCTGACAGACGGCGTTGCAGTGGCTGTTGGCGGCGAGGAGATGACGAGAGGCGGTTGGCAGCGAACGGTGGAGCCGGACGGCGATGCTGTTGCTGTGGCTGACGGACGGCGCGGTTGTGCGGTGGAGCCGCGATATGAGTGACGATGGTTACACGATTCGGGGCGTGACGGAGGAGAGAATTTGGGTTATTGGGTGACGATGAATTTGGGGGGTTTGGGTTATTTGGATTTTCAGAATTAGGTCGTCGGATAAATAAAAAAAAAAAAAAAAAAAAAAAAAAAAAAAAAAAAAGACCAGGTATCCGCGGCACTTCTTTAGTGGGTGCCGCGGATTCAATTATTATTATATTTTAAT